AAAAAAAAAAATAACCTCTCTCCCATTGTTGTCAGGCCAAACTATCTCCAAATATTATCAAATATCCCCCAGGTGGACAAAATTTGATACCTTTATATATATATATAATACCTATGGCTCAGAGGTATAGAGGTTATTATATGCTTTGTTGACTTCAGAATTAAATTCTTATCATCAAATATTTGGCATAATCAGACTATAAATTTTATATGGGCAAAAATGGTGCTTGGTAAGGTAGCAGTCATGAATACTGCTCACCAAGTCTCCATGTCTTGTTCTCAGTTTAATATTGAGAACAGAAGAAATTCAATTTTAAGATATATTCAAAGATAATTGTGCTCCAGAATAGTGATGTGCCTTAGTCAGATCATAGGGTGCAGATATATCAACATGAATGTAATTTATTAATTTACAATAAGAAATTTAATCATCAATGATAATAATTTATATTATCTCTAAACACCTTTTACATAGATCAGCTAATACAATGTATTAATTGATAGTTTATCACAATATAACTCTAGGAGCATCTAATTTTAGTAAATTTGGGTCATGTTGCTAATAAGTGTTGGAACTAGAATTTGAATTTAAGTAGTCTAATGGGACAAATAGTAATTTTTTAAAAAGTGCCTATATCCTTAGAGTCACTGATTAATTTATCACATTTGTTAGTTTAGGAAAGTATCTTTTTGGTATTAAAAGGTATTATATGTTTATTACAGAAAAGTTAAAAGGTGCAACATACAGGGCCCTCCCTGGTGGCGCAGCGGGTTAAAGCACTGCACTGAGAAGCTAAAGCCACTTCAGCATGAGTTCGATTCCCGCCTGCCCCGGAGGCAACCACATGGCGTGGCAGACCTCTCCTGACCCGCTCACTGCTCCCTTCAGCAGTGTGCTTCCTTGATCTGTCTGTTTTGCTCCCCGCTCTGTCTCTGGTGAATTCTATCACCCTCCACATCTCTGGCCTGTACCCCAGTTCTGTGTGTACAAATAAATAAATCTTTAAAAAAAATTTAAAAAAAAAAGGTGCAACAAACAAGAGGAAGAATTTAAAAATAACATTTATATGCTAGTTAGCTGAACTGGACCATTGTTAACATTTTACACAATTTTATACATAGTGTCATTGATCTTCTATTACTTAAGTAATGTTAACTATTTTAAAATACTTAAAATGTTATTTCAGGGCCCTCCCGGTGGCGGTGGCGCAGCAGATTAAAGCACAGCACTGAGAAGCTAAAGCCACTTTAGCACCAGTTCCATCCCTGCCCCGGGAGGTGACCATATGGTGAGGCAGACCTCTCCTGACCTGCCTGCTGCTCTCCTCAGCAGTGTGCTTTATTGATCTGCTTGTTCTGCTCCCCTGTCTGTCTCTGGTGAAGCCTCTCACCACCCCTGCACCTCTGTCCCGTACCCCAATTCTGTGTACATAAATAAATAAATCTTTAAAAAAATGTTATTCCAAATTATTTAAAATGTTTTTCAAGAGGAAATGGTAATTACCCTGAGTCAATTAATTTATTTGTGGAGACCCTCCTGACAGATAAAAATCAGGCTGTCAGTGTGTTTAGCAGGATACTGCACATGAACAGCATTCAGACTGAGCTGACGGGTAGTGGTCTTGGTCAAGGTGAAGCAGCAGGCAGTGACTACACCTAGGGCATATTTGTTTCTGACAACTTAAGAAGACTGAATGGGGAAGTCATTGAGATATCATTTATGTTGGAAGTGACCCCAGAAGTCAGAGTTCATCACATTAGACTATTTACACAGGATTTAAGATTGGTAGAGGGTAAGGTTTAGGATGCTGTCATCCATGACAATGCAGAACCAGTGACACTGTTGATACTATTATACCTTCTATACTATGTCCTTCTATATATGTAATACTTATTGATGAACCTGTATTCCATATATACACTTTGACATGCGTGCTATTTAAGTAGTTAATAGGACCAAAACTTCATAAAGTCTTTAATCATGCATACAATGCTCTTTTAAAAACCATATCTTAATGTTGGATTTTAAGATTGCTGTCAATTTTAAAAACATAACTATCATCATGGTATCTTTCTATATAAATCATTGTATTCTGGAATATCTCTTTGTACTCTCCAAGAGGGATAAACTCAGTGATGTGAACATTTTAAAATATGATGACAAATACATTTTCCAAACTTTGTCCTAATTTATACCTCCACCAGTATATACCAGTGCCCTTTTCATTCCACTCTTTCTCCATGAGACTGTGGTTCCCATAATGGCAGTTACCCTTTTAGTTATCTGTGAACAATACCTCCCCCATATTAGAGAAAATGGATAATGTACTTTGTAGAATAATTCTTAGGATTAAATGAGATGCTTTAAGTAAACCATTTAATGCAGCGTCTGATACACAGCAGATGCTCAATAAAGTATTCAATGAATAATTTATTCAATGAATTCCAGTGTTGAACTTAAACCCCACGATTTCATTTCAGAGTTTAGGAAAATGAAGATTAGAGATGAACTATCGCTGGGAAATCACCAATATAGTTGTTAATGCAGATTTAAGAGTTGAACACTAATTCTCAAATTTTCACCACAAATCACAACTGGCCTAAATATCCCTGAGCTATATATAACGTTGCAGGGTTTTTTTTTTTGAAAGATCAGTATCAAACTTATAAACTCCTTAGCAAATGTTGTGTTCGCTCTCCCTAGTTTCTAATGTCCTGATGCCTGGGAAGGGCAGAATCTTTGGAAATGGTCAGCAGGCTTGACGGTGGCAGGGCGCCAGCGCGTTAGGGGAGCGGAGATTGCAAGACTAGTTTGATGCACAAAGTTAGGTTTTGGAGAAGGGCAGCATTGCCCGCAGCAGGCTCAATCAGTAGACCGGCAGGCGGATGTGTCCGGTACAGGCCGGAGCGGCTCGGCGACTCGGCGGACGCCTGAGGCTAGGGGTGGGGGAAGCTGCGTCTAGGTCAGCGAAGGGCAAAGGAAGCCGGACACTGATGACGCGGATCGCCTCCCCATTCCACTTCAGAGTTTAGGAAACTCCGGGGCGTCTAGTGCGAAACCGTATCCAGATGTAAGGCAGGATCTTCAGACATAGCCGTCACCCCAGAACTTTCGCAGGTACTTCCGGTAAGAACCTGGAGCCCCCGGCTCTGGCCCCGCAAAGCAGCGCGCAGGCGCCTGGGACCTGTCGGCCACGGCGGCCGCGGAGGAAGGGGGCGTGAGAGTCGGCGAAAAGCTTCCTCTGCGCCTGCGCCGTCTGCTCTCCCTGTCCCAGGGGGAAAACAAACCCGGAGCCGACGTCGCGCACTCCGGGGACTCCCGGCCGGGTCGCTCTTCACGCTTCCAGTACGGCTTTGAGTCAGGTCTCCCGGAAGCTCTGCGGGGGTGTGGGGAGGTAAGAACACCCCATAGCAGACGTCTTGGCCTCTCCTCACCCCTGCTGCCCTCTCGGAGGGGGCGGGACGGCCCCTGGAGCTGTCGCCCTGGGCTGGGGATTTGGCCCTACGCTTCCTCCCGGGGTTGAGCCAGGACCCCCCCCACACACACACCCATTCCTTTGCCAACCCCCCGAAGCCTCCCAGGGAACGCCACCCTCATACCTCGCGTCCCCTGCGGGGAGCCCCGAGGGCCTGGCTGGGCCGTGCGGGAAATCTCGGCGGCTGTTTGCCGGGTCCCACCCACCCGGGTGCGGCGAGTGCTCGACCCGCGGGGGAAGCGACCCCGGTGGCGGGTGGGGGAGGGAGACGCGCCCCCAGGTCCGCCTGACCCGCCTGGGGAGGGGACTGTCGTTTTTGCGGAGTGGTGGCCTCTGCGCAGACAGGTCTCGGTGCACGCAGATAAATCTGTCATCGCCGCTCACGCTCTGGCAAAAATCGGTCTCGCAGCGATGCTTCTCGTCATTTTAGACCAGAAGGATGCGGTCGTGTTGCTTCCCACTACCTTTTCTTTGGTACCTTTGAAAAATTTCGAAAGATGACTTAACTTTATACTCTTAACTTATTTACTGTGATCGCAAAATATTCCCAACCACGGGCGTTCTTGTTTTCTTTACTCTTTATGGACATCAGTTCCATGTGATGTTTATTTAACAAAATAGACAATTTGTTGGTCGAATCAGTTACTTTCATATACCCTTTTGAGCCTGTTTGTCTTTTGCATTGTTTGAAATTTGATGGTTTGACTTCATACAGTTATATGTAATTTTCACCTACTTTTAATACTGAATTGGCAGTATCAAAAAAATTTTTTTAAATATAATAAAGAACGAGAAGAAATCAACATTAACTCCACTATTTGAAGGTAATCAACCATGGGTTGGCTTAATTCCAGATAGTATAGAATTCAGGATAGACCAAAGATTGAAAACAAGCAGTTTGGCAGGAGTCTGCTGTGCTTTCTCTCACTTCATAGGTAAGGTAGAAATAGTTGAGTGAAGAACTAAAGAGAATGTGATTTTTTTTAAAAAAACAATTTCTTAAATGTACAGTAGGTTCCATGACACTTCATTCTAGCTATTGTTGGCAAAAGATGTTATGGTAGGGAATCCATAAGTTTAAATAGGAATGGAATTAAGGGCCACCATTGCCATAGGCCCAAAGAGCATTTTACTTTTTTTTTTTTTTTTTTGAGATTTAGTTATTTACGCATACAGAACTGGGATACAGGACAGATGTGAGGGTGGGTGGGGGAGAGCACTCACCATAGGCAAAGTGGGGAGCAGAACAGGCAGATCAACACTGCTGAGGAAGCAGTTTGCTGGTGGGGAGAGGTTGGCTCCCTCATGTGTGTTGCCTCCCTGGCTAGGGATTGAATTCAGGCTGCTGTGACTGCGGATGGCTTCCTAGTACTGTGCTTTAACCCATTGCGCCACCAGGGAGGGCCCTTTTTGTTTTTTTTAAGATTTATTTTATTGGCCCACCCTGGTAGCACAATGGGTTAGGAGCAGCACTGCAAGCTAGCTGCAGCTGCTTCAGTGCAAGTTCAATCCCCAGATGGGAGGTGATCCATATGGCACAGCAGACCTCTCCTGCCCGCCAGCTGCTCCCCTCAGGAGTGTTTATGCACACAGAACTGGGGTTCAAGCCAGAGGTGTAAGGGCCGTGTAGAGGAATCACCAGCTTCGGAGCAGAACAGGCAGCTCGAAGTAGCTGCTGAGGGGGAGCAACAGGCATGACCAGAGAGGTCTGGTGCACTTTAACCTGTTGCACCCCAGGGAGAGCCCAGGAGCATTTTGCTTTTGACCAGATTTCTTAGTTCCACGTGTGGCCAGGGGGCCGTTCCCTGCGGCCAGTGCTGTTAGCTCCTCCATTTTCTTCTGCTCATCTTTCTGTTTCTGCTAGAATGCCTTATCTTCCCTGTTCACCCCCTTGGCCTGTTTGTCAGGCTGCTTCAGGTGCTTCTTGCTCCCTTTGGGTCTGTGGTCTCTTCCTCCAAAACCTGCCCTCACTATGTTACTTAAGTTGAGATTTTAGATGTAGTTGGATTGCCTGTTTTTTGCCAAACGTTATTTTTTAGACTTTTCCCTATGCTTAAAAAAACAACTCCATGAATATATTATGATTTTTTGATTGCAAAAATAATATATGAGCAACTTATCTTTTGAAACAGTTGTATTACAGCTGAAGCGAAATTCCGATTTATCATTCCCATTCAAAATGTCATATAAATAAAGGGTATCATAGTTTATTTATCCCACAGAGATTCAGGGCTAATAAAGTATTTGTTTTTAATTAAGCATATTGACCATGTTATACATCAAACCTCAGAAAAATTTTAAATATTTAAAAATAAAAAACCCATTTTATATATATTATATTTAAAAATATTTTGATTGAAAAACTACTGTGAAATTTACTAAGAAGGGTAGCATTGTTTTCTATATTTTGAACTACTTTTATAACTTTATAAGAGAAAGCTATATTCCTACGCTTTTGTGTTAAATCCGGTGAGACATATGAAGAAAGTATTAAGCATGTTAAGGGGCTTATTTAGAAAAGAAAGGCTTCCTCCACCAAATAATTCTCTCAGTGACTCCCAGGGGAGTCTGGGAAAGGTGATTTAACTTTAGAAGCTGTTAGGTTCTTTACAGCTGTTAGGTGATTTAACTTTAAGAAGCTGTTAGGTTCTTTACAGACATTACAACATAGTAATGACTCCTGTTTATTTTCTTAAAATAAAAATTTTAAAACCTAAAAAAAAATTTAGTGCTGTGTGCTTCTGCTCCACTACCATTGTTTCTGTAGAAGAATTTCCCATAATGTGTGTACTTTTTAGTAGTTTTCATAGACATAAAAAAATACTTTGGGGCCCTCCCTGGTGGCGCAGCGGGTTAAAGCACTGCACTGAGAAGCTAAAGCCATTTCCGCATGAGTTCGATTCCCGCCTGCCCCGGAGGTGACCACATGGCGTGGCAGACCTGTCCTGACCCGCCCACTGCTCCCCTCAGCAGTGTACCTTGATCATCTGCCTGTTCTGCTTCCCACTCTGTCTCTGGTGAATCCTATCACCCTCCACATCTTTGGCCTGTACCCCAGTTCTGTATGAATAAATAAATAAATCTTTAAAAAAAAAAATACTTTGATGATTGCACATTTATATATTGTGTCCTGATGTTTAGATGAATTCAGTTCATGATTAGTGTAACATACTTGAATATTTCTAAAAAAAGAATTGTTAATCAAGGGCTAGGAATCTTTTGAAAATATTGGTACATATTGTCACATTGTTTCCCTAATGGGGTGTATCTGCTTACATCTGATAATTTATATCAGCAGTATCTGAGGTGCTTTTTTGTCCTTTAACCTTACCATTACTGAGTACTTTTATCATTTAAAAAATTAAGTTCATATTTAATAGACAACAAATAGTATGTGTTCTAATTCTCTTACTTTGATACTGCATTGCGCATTTTATCATCTTACTAATTGTCTGTTCATTGTATTTACCCACTATAACAGTGTCTAGGTGTTTTTCTAACAGATTTTTTATTATCTTTTTATATTGTGAGAATTCATGCTGTAATTTTTTAAAGAAAGTTACAAAATTTTCTTTTTTCCCCTGTTAAAAAAGTAGTACATTTTTTGTAAAAGGAGTAAAATACTGTTGAGATATAGTATGTAGGTGTGAGTGGCTTATATAATCTCAGATATCATTCCTTTAAATAAATTTTCATTGATGCTTTACATCATTATATGTTTCAGATACAACATTGTAATTCTCTACCTGTCAATAATTCCAACACTACCAAAAGTCTAGTTTCCATCTGTTACCCATATATATATATATATAGTTTAAAATTTACATACTTATGCATACAAGAACTGGGGTACAGGCCAGAGGTTTGGAGGTGCTAGAGGGTTCACCAGCAAGAGGATGGGAACCAGGGTAGGCAGATCTACTGAAATCCACTGCTGAGGGGAGCAGCTGGTGGGACAGGAGGGGTCTGCTGTGCCATGTGGGTTAGCTGCCTGGCTGGGGTGGCTCTCATGCCACAGTGGGCATGAGCTAACCTCTTCCGCCACCAGGGAGGCCCTGTTAGCCTCTTTATACCTTTTACCTGTCCTCAAGCCCCATTTTATTTTCCTGTGCTTGTGCTAATATTTCCTTTTGCAATTTGTAAATACGGTTTGTGAAATTTTGTGATTTGATTTTTCTGTCATTTAAAATTATGTACTGAGTATTTTTCTAGAGATGCACATAACTGTGTAAAGTTTTATCTAGAGTGGCTTTGGTAACACTAATTGTGGTCTTCAGTCATCTGATGCTGCCCTCTTCTGTATTTTCTTCCTACGTGATCTCATCCATTAACAGCTATGTGCTACCAGTTCCCAAATTTTATCTGTCTCAGCCTTCTCTCCTGTATTCCAGATTCTTATATTCAGCTGCCTATTGGACACACCTTCCCCACGATGTTCTCAAGGTACTTCCATCAGCAGTCTAAACCCGAACTCATATTTTCCCCTCTGTGCTGTTCCTCTTTTGTATTGCCTGCCATGGTATGGTAACCGTGCTGCTCAGTGACCCATGACGGAAGCCTGACAGTAATCCTAGATTTCTTCTTTGCTTTCACTCTCCAGAAGTTCCCATTCTTTACCACTTTTATAGTTATCTCCTTTCCATTTGTACAGTACTGTGCTGTCTCAGCTTAGGCCCTTATCATCTCTTACCAAAACAAACTTAGGACCCTCCTTACAATGGTAGTGTTGGTTTTCTGATTAATCATGTTGCTGCTAGTTTTATTTTAAACATGAAGAGATTTCTTAGAAACTATTTTTAGTAAAAAAATCTATTTGCAAATTTTAACTGAGGGAAAATATCATCTAAAGCAGATTGTACTATGTACACATAAATAAACTTTAGATTGGGAAGTATATCTTTTATTTCTTTTGTGTCTCC